ACAGCTTTAAGGAACTAAGGTTGACTTTCTGGAACGAAAAGAGCCCCTTGGAATTGTTGGCCTGGTACTTTGCTTTTAGAGTTCCCAGATGAGTAAAGAAGGTCACTTCTTGGCAGGTGCAGGAACCTAAGGATCTGTGGGAGACCTCGAGAAGAAGAATTCACCCAAATCTACAGGTATTGCAGGCAAATCTAATGACAAGTATCTGGCTTGGCTTCTGGCCTTGAAAGGCTATTAAAAGTTCAATCTAAAATTCCTTACAAAAGTTCCAGCAAAGCAGATTTAAGAGAACTTATGTGGTCAATCACTATTCTTGCTGTACTTATGTAAATAATTAGGTTAAGTTTGTTAAAACTAGACTTGTTTTACAGACAAATTATTTTTAATTTGGCTATGTTTGATGAAAATCAGGGTGATTTTAGAAAATTATGTTTCAATAACATGCCTTTTGTGGATATTAGATTCCAGTTCTGATTAATTACCTTTTAAGTGTTTGCCATTTGCCTGTAAGACTCGGCTGGATCCTGAATTCTTCCGGTTTCCTCAAATATCTGGCTAAGCCTCTCCAGACTATGGCTTTCAATCTTCTTGCATTCTCTTGTCTTGGACTCATTAAGAAGTAAAACTGGCCTTTTTTCCTGAAGGCCTGCAGACCAAAGCTAGAAAACTGGAAGTAAATCCCAGAGGGATTGCCATGGTAGCTCGTATATTGACAGTTCTCATGCTTGTTGCTCTATGGGCCCCTCAAAAGATCACCACAGACTTTGAACTGCAAATCAGAAGATCCGTCAGGCTGCTGCTGCCTGTTCCTGCTGCCTGTTCCTGCTCTGTCTGAGGACGCTTCGAGCCTGACATCTGGAATCTTCTCACTGGCAGGACATGGGACTCAGACACCGGGTTCATAATTTGCTCCAATGGTCAACCTGTGTTTTCCTTTTGTTGTCACAGAAATACCTCTTATTAATTACCTGATTGCTTGCTGAACAAGGACGAGCCTATGCTGTTATTAACAAAACCTGTCCTGCCCAGGTTAATAAGAAAGATTGAAGTAAGTACAAAAAGGGTGTATGAGCGGGCATCCTGGCTGCATCGGTACAACCAAGGGACAGATCCTAACTATATTTGGTCAACCATCAAAAGGGCCCTCCCCAGTTTCTCTTGTTTGTTTGTTTTTTGTTTGTTTCTGTTTCTGTTTTTTTTTTTTCTTTCCTGGGACGATTGGTGGCTATTATTTTTGGTCCCTGTCTGTTAACCTGTTAGTAAAAATTGTGTCTTCCAATCTCCAACAATTCCAAGTCAAGCTCATGGTGGTACAAGGATTCCAACCTCTACAACTACAGGAAGATCCAAGTCCCTCTGACTGCACAGAACAGTCAGCCTGAGATTTCACACCTGCAGGGTAGGATAGGGACAATGCCCCCACTCAGCAGGAAGCAGTTTCAGAAGATGAGACCTGTAGTCCCTTCTCCTTAAGAACAAGAAGGATGAAATCTCTCAGAGGGGTATGAGACAGTCAGGGACCTTGGGAACAAGCACCTGGAGAACTCTTTGCTGCCTGCTGGCTCTTATCACTTCTCTTGTAGAACTCCCTACTGACTTTTATACTTTTCTTGCAGAGCAAAGCACCAGCTAAGGAGCAAGCCCAGTCCAGGGCAAACCAGTCTGCACCAAGACGGACCCCAATACTGAACTTTCACCGACTTTTGCCCTCATTATAATACTAAAAATCATGCCCAGGGGTGGAGAGCTAGCCTGTTTATTAGACATGCCGCGCATGAAAAAGCAGGACCATTAAGTGCACAGGTGCTAATAAATCCCCACCTCTACCTGCTTACCTGTCACCCTTTTCCCACCTAAGTTCCTTTAAAGTATCCCATCTGACCTCTCCTTGGAGAGTCAGCCTGGGGATCCTTTCCTTTGTGCTGCCCCCTGGGGTTGGGGCATAAGCCCCAAGAAAGTTTGCCTGTGCTTTTATATTTGGGGTCGAGTCCCGTCTCTACCATTGCTGGGTCCAAGGACCCGAGTCTGGTAACTGATAGGCTTGCTCATATCTCTTTCTGTTCTGCTAAGACAGTTACTGTGATACTGTTCACCTTCCAAATTCTAAAAGTGATATTTCTATTCTATATTGCCCTATAAACCATAGAATCGATCTGTTCTGAAACTCTTCCTGGTACTCCGAATCACACGCCTGAGCATTTAAGTCACGGCCCACTGTCTTCTCTGCACGAAGAATTCATTTATCCCTTTCTTACCCTTTGAAATCAGGCCGATCACTGTGATAGCAAATCTCAAGGGATTTACAAAATTAAAAATTGTTTTCCTCTTTCTCTGTGATCTTGTAACGTATACGTTACTGCATTATTGCCTCTCATGTGCTATTATAACACTTTTTTTTTCAAAGTTCCATCTATATTATGATTCGGGTTGTCTTCAGAGCCGTGTTTGAAATTCCTTGCAACATTATGTCTGAAATGACTGAATCTTCATCAGTGCAGAATTTTGTGTGTAATTTCATTCTTCTGCATTTTGTCTGTTACTTTGTTACCTCAATACCACGTTTGTTCTGATTCTAACTATTTTAAAAACAGTCTAAGTGAGGGAGTTTACATCTTTCTATTTTGTTTAGTAAATGATCAGTATGCCTTTTCTGTGGAAAAGTCAGTGAAGCAAAGAGAAAGATTTCATATCATTCCACACTTTTTCCTAGGGAAATTACATGTTATTTTATTCTATTATAAAGTGCTGTGCTTTTCTGTCTTTATGTTATTAATATAAAAAATGACCACAGCTGAAAATCTCTGGCTATGATTTATTTATAGCATAATATTCAATTCACAATTAAATGCTAACCTGTAATTGAATCCAAGGATTCATTCTGCTGATACACTGAATAAAAGAACATAAGTGGTGCATAAATAGGAACAGAACAGAGATTAATAACCACCAATATTTATTATGAGATGATTCATTATGAATAATTTGAATGAAATGATTAGCATGATAAAAGCAACTCTTTAAAAAGGATGCAAGATATTTAAGAAAGATTTCCATCTTGCTGTGGTAGACAAAGTATTGTATTCTGTAATTGTAGGAGAAAGAAATCTTGAAAGGTAATACGGACATACTTTTAAAATATTATGAAGCTTATTTCTAGATCATTTAAGTTGTAATATCCATTAAGATGTTAATATAGTCCTGCCAGTAAGTTTGTTTATAAAAAAGAAGCAAAATATCCAATTAAAATTCACCCTGAGTCAACAACTGAAATAATGACATGAAGGTAAGGAAGGAACGTCCTCCTTCAATTCTATTGATTTCTGCCTTCATCTTTACATCTGAACAGGCATAAAATGCTCCAGAGCATCTTTTCTCAAGTCATTCTTCCATTCTTTTTCTTCTCAACTTGACCTTTATAAGCTCATAATAAAATAAGCATGAGAAGGAAGAAATACTAAGGGACTTAATTGGTGGAAACAGGAACACAATGGATTTAGACTTTCCAGGACTTTGGGAATTGTAGCAAAAATATACACAATATACACCGTGTATAAGGATTTGAAATAATTAAAATAGAATTAAAAACAAGCACACAAAAGAGTGACGACCAAGATGCCCAGGCAGATTTGAAAAAATAACAAATGAGAATCCTAAAAATGAACAACATAATTATTAAAATTATTTTATTTTTTTGGAGATTTTATTTATTTGAGAGGACAGACAGAGATCATGAGTGGGGGTCAGGGGTGGGCAGAGGGAGAGGGATAAGCAGATTTCCCACTGAGCAGAGGGGGGGAGTTACCCCTAGTTATTAAAATTAAATGCTCAATGGAGGCATTAAATAAGTAATTAGAGACCAAAAAGGAACCTGGGCCTGTAGATCTGAGTAACTAAACAGAGTGAGGCACAGGGAGACGGAGAAATAGAAACTCAGGAGGAGAGGCTAAGAGATATGGAGGGTAAGGGAATGAAAGAAACACTATGTATTTCTTTTTTATTTTAATTTTATTTTATTATGTTGTTAGTCACCATAGAGTACATCATTAGTTTTTGATGTAGTGATCCACGATTCATTGTTTGGGTATAACACCCAGTGCTCCATGCAGTATGTGTCCTCCTTAACACCCATCACCAGGCTAACCCATCCCCCCACCCCGCTCCCCTCTAGAACCCTCTAGAACCCTCAGTTTGTTTTTCATAGTCCATCATCTCTCGTGGTTCGTCTCCCCCTCCGATTTCCCCCCCTACATTTGTTTCTTCCGAGTTTCAGAAAAGGGCCATAGAGGAAATGGGGAGCGGTAATAGGAGAAGAAGCAATGCTGAGAAATTTCCAGAACTGACAAAATTGTCATTCTGCTGGCGCACCAATCACAGTGTATGTAACAAGGTACATGGCATGAATGTGTGCCTAGGGCATTCCAGTGCCAGATGGAAGACAAAGCGTTCTTTACAGCAGTGAGGGAACGGGAATCATCTTTAAAGGAAGGACAACAGACTGACAGGAGATTCTTGGAGGAAATAAAGTAACATGGGAGAAAAATGTTAGCTCGTATCTATCTCCTTATCTAGGGAATAACAACTGGGCTAAATAGTAAAATAACTTTTGTTTCATTTTTCTTTTAGAAGAATATAGGAACCATTTCTACAGAAATAAACAAACATCCAAAGTACTTTTTGGAAGACCAAAGGAAAAAAAAAAAAAAGACTGCCTTCATTCTTGATATTATCTTGATATCCACTATGTTTATCTGCCAATTCTGAAACTACAGGAATTTAGATGTCCCACTTATAATTGACTTATGAACAGGTATCTTTCCGTAGAAAACAAATGGTGCTTTGTTTTAAGAAAATAATATCAGATTTACCAAATTTCATATTCAGGAAGTATTATAGTTCCAAAATTTAAGCTCTCTCATGAATCAGTCACCTGGAGCAATATGAATATAATTAGAGAAGCACCCTCAGCAGTAAAGGGCCAGTCTCTGCCCCTGGGAACTCACCTCCCCTTCTGTAGACTGCAGATGGAGCTCCTTCCTGCAGGTGGCCTTGAAGTCTCCTGCAGCAGCACTCACCTGGACCCCTCGAGGAGCTTCCATTATCAAGGACCTGGTGGGTGATTCAAGCCTAAGAGCAAAACAAAAGACTCCTTCACAGTAAAAAGAAAAACAAATTATGATGGACTAAAAGATAACATTAGTAACTAAAACAAACGAACAGGTAGGCATAAATAAAAATCCTTTCCATTTCAGAAGCCAAAATGAGTGTTAGAATCATTTTTGATTGTCTTATCTATTTTTTGGCTCTTTATGAAACTCTTCATTTGCTAACATCAATTATTTACTCTCATTTGTTTAATGATTTGATAAGAGTTTCTTATGCTGTTTCCTTTCACAATGCACATGAAAAGTAGGTCTTTATAAGTTTACTTGTTTAAATCTTTTATATATTTTCAAAATTAATGATGGAGTTTTAATAAATATATTTGTACCAACTTAGCATGTAACTATCCCTCAATAAAGAGTCTTGCAAAGAAGAGAGAGGTTTAATGAAAATCGTTAATATTATGAACTTTCAAGCATTCCACAGTCAAAATTTTGTAGACCTGAAAATTTTCAAACTACTCATTATACTTTTAGAAATTAATTAAAATGCAGGAAGAAGCCCTTTCCTACATCTTCCTACAGGAAGAGCTGACCTCTACTGGCCCAGGAAAATGTCCACAGAATGAATGACATTAGCCTGAGAGAGAGCAAGTAAATGAGGGGTGATAACACCAGCTCAAGTATGATTAAAGATTGACTGCATAAATTATGAGGGAAAAAAAAAAAACAACTGTTTTAGACAGTTGTGCCTGCAGAATAGCTAGTTGGGAGGCAGTTTCAAAATTACCTTTAATTATAAAACTAGAGAAAAGGGCAAAAGAAGGCAGAACATGGAAACTAGAATACAGTGGTAAAAAACTTTAGTCACTCTGTATTTCATGTATTTTTCACTAAAGCTTTAAGTCTGCTAAATTACTCCTGAAAGATTCAATCTAAAGAGAAATTTTGTGGTGTATAGTTTATTTAAAAGAGTGATGCATTTCTTTGAATAAAATTAATTGTAAAAAGGAAAAAAAAAAAACACAAGTGTGAGCAGAGGGACTATCCCCAAGTTGGTCTTTTTGGATAAACACTGTTCTGGGCAGTGACTGTGTGTGGTTCCCTTGCCCACACAACTTTAAGACAAGAGTCCCCTCAGGCTCACATCTCACATTCACCATCATCCAGAGCAACTGGTTTCCTCTGAGGCAACAGATCCAGAGCTGTTTTGCAGGAAAACTACATCAAATAGTTTGAACTCTGAAGATCAGCTCTCTCTCAGTAGTGAAGTTGAACGTAAAGACTTTAAAGTGATATTGAAGGAGTACAGCTAGCATTTAGAAGAAGTAAATTTGACACTTTCAATTTTTTTTTTCACCCACCAAAGCAACTTTGAAACTTTCATCTCTATGGGCCTCTTGGGACATCTTTATAAAATCCCTGGAGGGGTCAGATTTTGAATATATGTGTATGTGTGTGTATATATATATATATATATATATATATGCATTTTTTAAAAGAAATGTTTGTATTTTTTTAGAAAAAATCACATTTTTACACAGCATTTAAAAAGTTGAAAATAAGATAATTATATTTTTCACTCATAATCCTCACACTTTGCACATAGAATCTACATTTCTATTAAACTGTGTATTTTATAATTGATTTCTCCTAATACATCCCCAAATATATGCCATCTTGAGTAGTATATCTGTGACCACTACTATTTTCATTGGTTAATTATCCATAACATTAAATGTAATTATATAAGTTTGGATATGATGAACCATTCAAACAGAAGTCAGGTACGTAATTAAAATGAATTATTCTAAAACAGATTATGAATCTGACATTCAAGCAAACACAACTCAGTGAACTTGTAAGTGGCAGAAAAAGCACCCTTATTTTATCAAATAATTGATATGGTTTAGTTTGTTTCCAGGGATAAAGGTTGAGGTTCTTACATATTTGATAGTAAGATATCCGTATTAAATGTGCTCATGTTTTTGTATCATATTTCTACTGTGTTTGACACTTGGTACTAGAGCATTAAAATATGTTAAGTCTTTATGGGCTTTTGAGTTTTTCCATTTTCATCTTTATTAATTACTTAATCAGAAAATGTTTATTATATTCATCTTCATTTTAGACCTCAGGTATCCATCGCCAGCATAGCCATAGACTATTCAAACAGGCAATAAAGACTGAGAGATGGGTTCAAGAATGTTAGCCAGCAGCAATAAGACTCAATTTCAACATCTCTAAATTGAAAATTATAATATTTTCTTATGGGGCCATAAGATATGTCTTGGGGGAATTAAGAGAGATAAATATGTGGTGGGGTAGTATTTTGAGATACTGATGGGATTTCCTTCCCTGTCCCATTTCCTCGCAGTTCTGCCATTCACTACACCGTGTATTTTGCCACAAGCAGCAGAAGATGGAGCAGAGAAGTTGATAAAGAACTTTTAAGTTTCCTAATCTAATAGACATTTTGAGTTGAAGAAAACCTAGCCGTTTAGTGTGTTGAAAATGATTCACCACATGGAAAAAAACATCAGAAGAAAACCAAAGTCAGTGAGAGCTTGTTGTATATTTCCACCTGTTGGAGAACTGTTTTCTTGATTCACAGGATAAAGATTTGGGTGGGAAATCAACAGAATTGGTTTCAAATTGTTCTCTGTGTTCGGCTACCTGAAGCGAAGTCCTACGATGTGGGGCCTTTATTCTTAGGTGTTAGAGGTTTGAGGAGAGTAGTGATGTCTCAGGATGACTGAGGACAAGAGATCATGAGTCATGGGTCATGAGGCTCTCAATGACCAAATGTCACCCCAAAAACTTTGGCACAGTGTAAACCCCTTGGTACAGTGATGCAACCCCAGGGAAAAAGAAGAGAACTGAATAGACAGGCTGAATTCCTGATACCAGGGCACTGGAGGCCGAACATGTATATACATATATACATATATACTTAATAATTTATATAATTTATACGTATGTAAAACTGCTCAGAGGACATAAAAACATTCAAAAAGTGGTAGCAATTTTATAGTATTGCTAAATCCTTCAAGTTATGAAGCAATTAAGACTGAATTAAACAGGTTTCAACTGTATGCTTTGTTAATCTTGATAAAACTAAGTGTGGTAATAATTAAGATATAATATAAACCTTATTTCCGCAACTATATGGTCAATTAA